ATTGACAAAATGATTAAAAATGAATTGTTAGGTTTAAGATAGAGAAAGGGATTTCACAAAACGTTTTTGAATGTAAAGTTTCGGTTTCTGTTCATGTATACCTAATGCTTCTGCCATGCATAAGCGGTGGGAACGTAAACCTTTTGGAATAGTTCAATTTAACTTTGTAAATTATTTTGAAGGATGAATCTCAAGGTGCTGACTGATCTAACTCTACTAGGTGTTTACATATGGATGAAGTTGCTTTTCTTCACTCGCCTTTGGTAAGCCAAACCGCGTAATGTTCAGCAACATGTTATCGGAGGACTCGCTTACAATGTCCAATATAGTCAACTCCACAGAAGCATATGGATTTGTAGATCCACATAGATGTGAACATAAGTAGCCTATCCTTCAAACATTGTCGAATCAGATGGCAGCTGGAGAAAATCAATCTCAGTCTAACCTCATAAAATTTACCATTGATACACCTTGACAGACGGTTTTTCAGCACTTCGGCTGTGGTATCTTCTTTAAATTCCAGATTTATGGTTAAAATTTTCTTAGAAACTGTAATAGGATAGATAAGGAGTGATTCGTTTCTTCAGATTTTTATCAATCAATCTCTTAGGCTATCCGTTATTCGATACTGTTCTAAAAGTTTCAATTTCATCATCCACCGTATCTTCTGAACAAATTTTGATGTGACTGAGTCGAAGAAGGACGTGGGTCCTAATAATAAGTGAAACGAGTAATAATTCAATGAGATACTTGGAGTGGGTATGAGTAATGTGACTGTTCTCTCACACACCTGATGCTTCAACGAGTCCCGAAAATCACAAGACAAAAGACAGGCCTGTGATTGACTTAAGGAAGACGAATTTTATTTGACAAAAAAAACATAGTGTTTATATACAGCGTCTATTAAGAAAATGAAGCCAATAGATCACCAATCATCTGAAGGACAAAACTGTTCAGCAAAATTAATTCGACCACACAAAGATATAAATCAAGATCTGAAACGAAAATATTTTTACTCCAACAGCGAATGACCTTGAATGATGATTTCCATTTTTGACCGCTTCCTACCAGATTTAATAGATTCTGCAACACAGTGAGTGAATGAGATTTCTTTGATAACTAAGAGGTGCCCAACTATTAAAGTTAGCGAACTGGCTGGTCCAAGTTGGTTTGCGATAGACTGATCTTTGAATAGAGGCATCATCCCTTTTCTTTAACATAACGTCTAGAAAGTGGAACGATGAATTTAACTCTTCTTCTGCAGTGAATTTAATGGATGGATGACAGTCATTGAAATGTCTTAGCAGCTCGTTCACTGAATATATTTCATCATAAATAAGAAAAGTATCGTCAACGTACCTTTAATACAAATAAAGTTTCGAGATTAGTTCTTTAAGTGACCCATTTTTGAGCTTTGCCATATACATATCAGCCAGGACAAGGCTTAATGGAGACCCCATTGCGACTCCGTCCGTCTGATTATAGATGGCATCATTAAATCTGAACTGTACATTAAACGTACATCTTAATATTAGTTCTTTTAGGTGCCCCGTACGTAACCCAATGTTAATATTACTAGGATCAAATGTAAACACATAGATAACAAACGGCAGACCCTATAAACCGAGCATGTTTGAACCAGATTGTCTAAGCTGTTCATACATATCCGAGATAATTAAAGATTCTTCTTTCAATTTTCTTAAGATTTTCGATATTTGACTTTCAATATCTTTTGTTGTATGTTTTTGATCGCTGGATTTTAGGAATTTATTATCATCATAATTTAGTGATATAATCCAACAGATCCAAAACCAAGATTTAGTATTGATTTTAGGTTAGAATTCATCATGGACTGGAATCAGCTGCAAAAACATTGGAAACTTGGGAGCACTGAATAGCTGTTTCGTCCTAGTACGGGACTCCTCAGCAGTGCTCACTCATCACTCCGCCCTGCCAAGGAACGGACCCAAGGTCTTCAGGTTCCATAGCCACCACATTACCATTGAGCCACTGAGTCGGAATCCACTGGTCCATGTTTCCTACTTCTGTCAATTCACAATATATTGTGACCATCACCCAATGTCTTCGATAATTATTTGTCCTCCGTCCAGTAGGTCGGCCTCACCCGTCACGACTTCTCATTGGAACTTCAGGGATCACCTCTCCGAGCTAGTCACCGATGTAGGCTACATTAATTCTATCTGAAGGTTTGTGGAAGCTTATTACTGATCCTTGACAGGGTCATAGGTGCGCTTTGCTGAGAAATACCGTACTAAGATGAAACAGCTATTCAGTGCTACCAGATTTTCAATCTTTCTCCGACTGATGTTAGTTTATGATGAATTCCAACTTAAAATCAACAAGAAATTTGACCATTCTAAACCTCTAGTAAATAGTACTAATAATTTGTGTTCATCAGTCATACATATACAAACTTCAGGAAAATGAGTATAAGGTTACTGGATGGATAATCAGTTTCAAAAGAATCTCTACCAACAACAAAGCAGTTTTCAAGTGCTTAACCGTGATATTAACATTTCCGTTCTGAACCATCCAGCCAAAATCACAACGTGTATCTCTTGGTATGAAAGTGACATGAGGTAACAGATTATACTGCTGAACAACATAAGTAATTTAGCAAGCCATCAATGATTTTGTTATCTTCTAGAATACTTGAACTGCAGGGTATTGTTAGGCTTTCTATTGTTTGTTTTTGGAATAATGTTGAAAAACAAAAATACGGTTTATTGATGTATAACGGTTAGCAGTGGAATCCAGGACATGCAAATCATCTTATTTAGGACTCGTGAGCTGGATGCACCAGTCTTTCAGAGAGTTATTTTGTCGCCACAAGGGCTCTAACCCGGGGCCAGTCGCTTCTAACACTAAAGCATTATCCACTAGGTCCTTGAGTCATGATAACCACCTCTTGCGCAATGGATATAGTTTTTCATGTTATTACTTATACTATCTAGTCGTTGATCGAACCCAGTTGATCGGTCAATATTGGTATATGGGCTCCTTCATAAATGCCTTAATATTCCCTGTGTCCCAACTTTATATTGACAATCGATAGGAGTAACAACATAGAAACATGGTTTGTTTAGTTGACGACATTAAATTGCTCTGTTAAGTGTCTCTGAAAAAATTTCTTGATAACATTTGTTGAATTACTAACTATTTAGTTGAAACAGTCTAGTCAAATGTTCTTTTCCTGCATCCGCTATCTCTTTTCGTAAACTCTTTTCAGTGTGTTGTTAGATACATGTTAGTGTAGCCAGTCCGTTCACAAATATATCTAATCCAGTCCTACAAGAGGTTAGTCGCGGACCGAATACCTCAGCAGTAACGTAGCTGACCATAACACTAGAGAACACAGGTTTGAATCTCAGGCGGGACGTCAGTCCCGTTGGCGTTGGAGATGTGCCTTGCTAACGAGTGCCAACAAGTACGAAACCTAGATCAAGGGCTTCCTGCCGATTGCTTCTATCCAATTAACATCTATCAAAGTGAGCTACCTAGTCTGGTGGCCACATGGAAAACATGATCGATAGGATTCGATTAGCGGTTAGGACTAGACAACACAAAGTATGTTACCCCCCTCAGTGACTAATCAATCTATATGAGTTATTCGTTTTGCAAACCTCAGCCCACAAATCTGAAGGTCTTAAATCCTAGTAACAAAAAAAATAATTAATTATCTATTTTATCTTCATTTTCTCTAAAGAATTTATCTCCATTACATAAGTCAGTCGAGCATATTGCTAAAGAGTTTCAAGCTCAGATGAGATACCAGTTCAATGCTTCCAGGTTCTCAGAAATTCTCTAATTGATGTCAATCTGTACTGAAAAAAACTGATTTCAAAAACAGATTATACATTTAATTCAGTTAGAAAAATAGTTAAAAGTTGAAAGCATAGGATAGATGTTTCATTTTACTACAAGACTCATGAGCAGTATACATCGATGACTCCACCAGGAAGTGAACCCAAGAACTTCATTTTTCGTGGACAGTATGTTACCACTGAGCCATTGAATAGGAATTGAATGCTCCACATTTGTTCACTTCTACAATTAACTCCTAGAAGTAAAAGGTAGTGCAGTACAATTAGTTGACGACGTATCCGCAATTTTGTTGCTAATTACATATGTATTCTAATGAAGTAAGATAAAGAGTAAAACCAGTCTACAACGGATGTTTTCATTTCATGTACGATACGAACTGTGTGTTTCCGGGGTGGAGGATTTGGAGATATTTTTGTTGGTTTTCATGATAGACTTACATCAGTCAGAGACCTGGGAGTACTGGACAGCTGTTCCATCCTATTATGGGACTCCAGCAGTGCGCACCGATGACCCCGTTAGGGATCGAACCTCCAACCTTCAGGTCCCGTGGCCAGCACGTTACCATTGAGGCAGTGGGTTGGAACCCGGTCCTTACGACCACTAGATTTGCCCCACTGGTCACGACTTCTCAGCGGCGGGAAAACCTAGTGGTCGTGAGGACAGATACTTAACGATGACATTGGGTGATGGTCACACTGAATCGTGAACTGACAGAAGTAGGAAATACGGAACGTTGGATTCCAACACTGACTCAATGGTAATGTGCTGGTCACGGGACCTGAGGATCCTGGGTTCGATCCCTGACGGGGTTGTGGTCGCACACTGCTAAGGAGTCCCATGCTAGGATCAAACAGTTATCCAGTGCTCCCAGGTTTCCAATGTTCTTCTAACAGATCTCAGTCCTTTATGAAAACCAACTTGAAGTTATTTCTTAAATAATTCAATCCTTCACCTTCAAAGCGCCAGAGGTTTGTTTCCTACATTGTTTAATAACTATTTATGCCTAAATTCATTTTGGAAACCTCCTATAATGGCCAGTTTATCAAAATATTATACACAGGAGAAGATAAGCTATTTTTAAAAAACACAAAAGTTGAAAACAATGATACGAGATAATCTGTCTACTTATGAGTAGTTAAAGTAATAAAAACCAATTAATCAGGTTATCTTTATTTCAACAAATACATCACCGTAAAGAAATTTTGCATAACATTACCTAATAATAAGGGAAAGAAGTAGAATCCTTGAAAAATTTGTTCTTTTACTGGGTATATAATGTTAGAAGGTTATACAGTTAAGAGACAGTATCATTTTCAAATTCTGAGGTATACTTATCACTGCTTTCTTGACTGTCATTATCCTTATGACAGTTTGATGATTCATTTGTTGACTGTTCATTGGGTATGTTGGAATCATTCTCAAGCATAGATGTAGTATTTGAAGTGATCTGTTCTTTATCACAGTTCTTAGATATTATAGGAGCATCAAATTCACGAACTATTAAATCTGATTGACGAAAAAGAGCAGGTGTAGATAAACAGTGTAGATCATCCTCATATCTATCAAATGATAAACTGGTATCCGGTGCTTCTGGAAGAAGTTCTGCTTTGATCAATTCATCAACTAATTCGGAAGCTGTACGATCAATAGTCTGATAAAATCCATCAATAATCTCATGAATTATATCATTAGTGAGGTCTTCACAAACATAAGCAACAGGAACATCTGGTAAATTATTAAAATTTGTAGAAGGATCTAGATAAACCACATATTCCTAGCTTGTACATCTCTTTTTATCTTTGATTGTAACAATTGACGGTGTAATTTAACTGGTAATATAAGTGAATGAAAATGTGAAGAGAAGTTGATTGATTATTTTCTGGTTTACAAATGGATTCCACCTTTGCATCAACTTTATTCTAGATAAGAATATTTAAAACAAAAAAAACGTCACAGGGAAATCTATTATCAATAAAATTAATTATCCAAAATTCATTGTTGAAACATCATTTCAGTCCTATAAACAAGTAATCATATTCATGAGGATTATCATTAAAACTGATCATTATGGCGCAAATAAGGATATGAACCATTTACCACCACAGTAATATTACGTAATCGTTGAAGGTGTAATAGTTCATGTCACCACACGGAAAATAAAAGCCATCAAGACAAGAGAATAACAATGTTCCTAGACATATAAAGCTATAAAACAGAAGGAATAGAGACGGAGGAAAGAAATATGGTAGTAGAGTCTTTCAGGTTGGTATTCATCATGGACTGACATTAGTTGGAGGAACATTAGAAACCTAGGAGCACTGGATAGCTGTTTTGTCATACTATACCACTCCTCAAACTGAATTAATCTGCTGCTCATTTGTGACCAGCATCGAGAGGTGATCCCTGATATTCCAGTGAAAATTTGGGACCAGTAGGGCCAAGTCGATGATGGCATTGGATGGAGGTTGCTCTATTTCGTGAACTGATAGAAGTAGGAAATACAAACTATTGACTCAATGATAATGTGCTGCCTACGGAACCTGAAGGTTGCAGGTTTGATTTCTAGAGGTCATGGGTTCGCATTTCTAATGAGTCTCACACTAGGATGAAACGGCTATTCAGCGCTCTTGAGTTTCCACAGTTCCTCCAATTATGTCAGTCCATGATAAATGCCAACCTGAGATCAATAAATCCTCACAAACCTCCAAATTTAGTCGAGCTTTTGTGAATCTAGTTTATACAGCTGGTCAGCCATTGCTAAACCAAAGGAAATATAACCGGAAAGAAAAAATAATCTATACTAATTTGATCAAAAAGTGGAGGGATAAGGATTTATACAGCATTTAACAGCCACCTCTCCCATTACGTCTGTAAAGTTGAAACATTATGTCAAGCATGCAAAACAAGCTGTACAATATTTATCAGCTGATGAAAAAAAGGTTGACAATTTAATGAGTAGTATGTATTGCACCGGGATTAGAACAAGTTTTGAACAAATGACTCAGTTTTCAAAAGTTAGATGCCTTAATTAACTTGTGATTAATTAAATATTTTATTCATTGTTTTTTGCTAGTTGTATATGCTACTTATAAATTCTAAATTTAAACAGAAATAATTACTAATTTGAGTTCGAGGTTAGAAAACACCTCAACTGTAGTACTGATACATCACAAAATGACAAAGTAATCCTTAGTTTTATAACTATCATCACAACTAAGCTTTAAGATAGAATCATTTCCAAGATGAGTGTTTCATCAATTTGTAACTACACAGCGATGACCAGTCCTAGGTAGCATCAGTATATAATGACTGACACTTTCCAATATCTTTACTAACATACACAAACCAACTACCAAACTACAGAGTTTAATTTGCTAACCAATTCCTGACCAGTACTCATTAGTGGGATGCTTCAAGACGAGATTTCCCAAAGTCATAACCAGTGGAATTGAACTAAGTCGGACTTGATGACAAATACTCACTGATGGCATTGGACGGTCATACTATATTGAGAGTTCACATAAGTAGGAAAATATGGACCACTTGTAACCTGCTCCCTGAGAAGCTCGGAGGTCCTGAGTTCAAGCCCTGGAGGAGGGGGGGTCATGGTTGCGCACAGCTGAGAAATCCTATACTAGGACGGAACAGCTGTCCGGTGCTCTCAGATTTTCAATGCCCTCCAACTGATGTCAGCCCATGAGAAATATCAACTTGAAGCTAAATAAATCCTCAACAAACCTCAAAATTGAAGTACTAAATCTGTTGTTTGTAAAGCTATACTAATGACTTTGAGACTTGTATCCAATTTGCATCGCTTTGTATACATATGATTGGAGAATCCCATAAGCAGTCATCGTATCTGTTCAGAAACGTATATTTTTAAAAGCAGTGAAGTGACCGATGTATATTACTGGAAAAAACCCTTACGAAAATGACTTTACTCATCTTAGAGAATATGGAATTACCATTGAACTCCTCAATCTAAATGTGTATCAGTAAATGAGTTGATAGTTTACAATAAAATTCCCATAACCTTCACTTTAAACTGAAATGCAAGTTTCCAGTTAAAATACATCAGTTGAGGAATAGTTCTGATAGCACATATAACAGATACCTTAAGGAATATATACGTAATTTCCATTCCTTAGATTTACTTTGAAGTCGTTAGATGATTTAAACATTTTCATTGTCTGCAACCGGTAACACAGTTAGTTCACTAAAACGCCTTGGCATTTTGTTCTACACTAGATAAGAAACTTTAGAAAAATATTTTCGCTTTCTATCAAGTTAAAGTATATGGCTTATAAAAACCTCTTAAGCATACTGGTTTCTTCAAAAACACTTTATTATCTGTACTCAGTATACTAATAAAACCGAACTCATACACATATGTCCAAAGGGGAACCAGTACGCACTGAATTTAACAATCGTTTATTTTTGAGATGAATGGGGATTATTAATTTTAAGGCAGTATTCATCATGGACTGACACCAGTTGAGGAGCCATTGAAAACCTGGGAGCATTGGATAGCTTATTTCGTCCTGATATGGGGCTCTTAATTAGTGACATGCTTCCATATGGATATCTTGAAGTCTCAGTGAGAAGCTGTGACCCGTGGGGTGAACCAGTTGGAAGGGAAACGGATGTTATCCGAAGATCTTGGGTGATAGTCAACCTATATCACGAATTGACAGAAGTTGGAAACTGTGAATAGTTAACGCATTCGCCGTGAAACCTGAACGTACCGAGTTCGATGTCTAGCCAGGTAGTGGGTGAGTACTGCTGAGTAGTCCCATACTAGGACGAAACAGCTGCTCAGTGCTCCCAGGCTTTCAGTGGTTCCCCAAATGATGTCAGTCAATGACGAATACTACCTCAAAATCGTTTATTCTCTTTTCAAGTGTTTCTTATTTGATCCCGGTTGCTTCACCATATGAGTTGGAGAAATCGCCAACACTAATTCCACAAAGAATAAGTGAGCACAAAATCTTAAATCAAAAGTATCTGCCAGTTAGCCACTCTCTTATTTAAATCACCTACCAAATGAACGCCATATGATCAACAGACATCAAGTAGTCATTCATCAAAAGTGTCAGTTTACGAGAATTCTGGGTTTTTATACACCCCTTAATTTAACTAAGCATGATACACACTTACATACTAGGCCATGAATCCAACTTGTTAGGAGAAGATTAATGATAATAACTGATTACCCAAATCGAAGTATTTGAGGCAGGGTTCGAACCCAGGACCTAGTGTTTGAAAGACGATTACCTAAGCCAATGAGTCATATATCTTTATCTTAATAATAATTTATCAAGAGTAAAAAAAAGGTAATGAAAAGTAACCAATTATTTAGTGCTAATTTGAAATCTGTTAGGCTTTTCAAGGTCAAATTCACGACCATCAAGAAATATCCGATTTCGTAAACTACTTTAAATTTTTACATTTAAATAATGTTCAGTAACTCAAACACTATTGAATAAAGGTAACCAATATGCTCAGAGGTGTCAGAACACATGAATTTCTAGTAATTCAAGTTTCAACATAAAAGTAACTGAAACATTTTATGTATATATTTTTCAAAAGAATTACACATTCAATAGTCACGTTCAGATTGATAAGATATAACTAAAAGTAAAATCTATAAACAATTTGAAATTTTTGTCATGATTGCGCTACATTAAAAGTAAATTTTAAATATATTCTCACATATCATTTTAAACAAAACGGATTGAAAAGGAAACTGAGATTAGTTTAAAAAAATTAAAAGTATATCAATTTGAAGTTTAATTATTTAAATTAAAGTCTTGGTCTAAATAAGAAAAGTAAAAACAATATATCAGTAAATAAGTTAATGAGTTCAATTATCTTTGTTTTAATGCACTATCAGAACTATATATGTTCCATGCTATAATATTTAAATGTATAAAGTATGCTTGCAAAAAAGAAAAAGTAGAGGAATAATAATTAGAACAATTATAACTAAATGCTTATAATATTGAGAAAGATGTGAATTGATTCTGATTAATTAATTAATTTATTTATTTATTTATCTACTCATTTATATCTTTTTTTCTTCTAAACCTTAGTTACTAAAATTCTTTTTTTAAAAAAATTCAGCGGTCAAACTGAAAGTAACAGTTTGATTTGGTCATTTTAAATTCATGTTCAATGATTGAAAAATTGATTTATTTTTAATCTGATACAAATAATTCATGATAAATATATATGAGATAAAATGATAGATAATGCGTTAAATATGCTATAAATATGATTATAAATAATAGTCAAGATTGAAATATAGAAAGGGAAAAAGTGGATAGAATATGATATTTGTACACACTTGTAGAAGAATACAGAATTTAAAAAAATATATTTTTTTCATTTATTATAATAGCATAAATACTTCATACGAGGGTATCTGTATATGCTCCATGTATAGATAGGATAATTTAAAATCTGAAGGTAAAACAAAAAATTCAAAGAGAAAAAAGCAAACAATTTTAAACATTCAAGATTGGACATAGAATAAAAAGAAAACTAAATGTTTTGCTATGAAGATAGAAAAGTATTCAGGTTTTCCTTGAAATTTAACATATTAAAAAATAATGAAAGAAAGAAAAATTTCAATCATAGTCGAATGAAACCAATCAAGCTGTTAAGAGAAACTCAAATATCCGTCCATAATAATAAATTATTACATTGATAGAAGTTGATTTTGACTTTAACAGATTTATCCTTCAATTTAGGGATTTACTGATTTCAAATTGGTATTCACCATAGACTGAAGTTAATTAGAGGAACACTGGATAGCTGTTTCATCCTAGTATAGGACTCTTCAGCAGTGCGCACCTATGGCCTCAACCCTCCAGGGATCGAACCCAGGACCTTCAGGTTCCGTGGCCACTACATCACC